AATTTAGAGAATTTTGGAGGTTTCTCAATTTATTAAAACCACGAAGGCGGCTAGTCATGGAACGCATGTTTTGACTTTCTCGTACAAATAACAAAACGTATACAATTCTGGTTGGGAATGATTTTTGCTTTTTCACCTCATAATTTCATGATATTAGATAAGATGAATAAATCTGGATTAAAATATCTAAATTTTGGATATTTTCAAAAGGATATCGTATAATTATCAATCACTGAAAATCAGGAAAAATTTCGAAAAAATGTTCTAGATATGTTTTTTCGTTCAAAAAACGGTTTTAGATAAACATCAATAGGTTCAGGATTTATTTCCACATCGACTTAATAATTTTCTTTTTTTAATTTATCAAAACAATATAATGATATATATACATATCTTTTTTTTGGTAAGAATGATATATATATACATATCTGACTGAAAATAAAATCGTATCAAAAGACAAAAGATCCATGTTAGTTTTTTTTCACTTTCGTTACTATATTTACTAATCTTTTTTTCTTTTCTTAATCAGCATCTTTTATTTATTTTTTATTCTTGTTAAAAGGTTGTTAGTAATTACTAATCTTTTAGAACCATAAAATATCAGACTCAATCGAAATCCTAATTAACCACTTATAGTTGCTTATATTGTAAATTCTTAAAAATATATATTTTTTATAACAATTTCTTAAAATTGTTGTTACAACATAATAGTAATGACCGATTCTTTTTTGAAAGTTGGTACTTCGTTTCTCCAAAATTTGATACTTGTTGAAATTTATACAATGTAGTATGTATATAAATTTTGTTTATTCTTATATTAAAATGTACATTTAATTCGAATGACATTGCCTGAAAAACGTGGCCTCTGCCATATAGGTTCTCCTTATAAGTTATAAGCCTACGTGATTTCTGTGACTTAGTTTATAAAAAGAGCAAAGATGCATGTGAAGTGTGAAACTGTTATCTTCTTCGGTTCACGTTAACTCACATATTAAAGGTTTTGGCCAACTTGTTATCTTTCTTCTATTTATTTCAGATGCAGTGTATATTATTTCTTTGTTTGCATGTGAATGTGAACAATATCAAATTATGTAATATTTTTCTTATCAAATAGTACTTTTTAATGTATTTTCTTATTTTCAAAATATTTATTTTAATAGAATTTTTGTTTTACACGTATCAAAATCTGAGATCGATAAAATTATTACGTGTTCATATCCTATATTAACTTTCAAAACCAAATTTTATTATATAAAGTATGGTTTTCAAAATTAATAATTCATGTGATCGTGACACGTGTTAAATCTATCGATCTTAGATTTTGCCATATGTCAAATAAATATTTCCTTTTTAATAATTAAAAAGAAAAAAAAGATAATTATAAATTTAAATAGTTTTAAATGTAAAAAGTATAAGGAAATTATACCTATATTTCCATAAGAGATTTTGTCATATGGCAAACAAAAATTAGGTTTTAACAAATTAAATATTGTAAAAAGATAATTATAACAAATTTATAAATTTAAAGAGTTTCATAATATAAAAAGATTATTATAAGGAAAGTATATGTATATATAAAGAAATTATGTGTGTATTGTTCATAAAAATAGAAATTATATAATGCTAAACGTTTTATTTATAAGTTACTAACTGTACAAAAAAAAAGATTTAAAAATAGGATAATTTTTTTAAGGAAATTATATAATTTATTAATCATATAAGAAAAAAGATTGTAAATACTCACCTCTATAGGAAAAAATAGATTGTCTCATTCTCACCAAGCAAACTAATTTCTTTAGAGACACCATCATTTCTTTAATTTCATTCTATTAGTAAAGTTTTTCCTCTCTTTTTTTGGTCATAAATTATTTTTAAGATAATATTAGTAACTAACCTTTGACTAAAATATAATTAAGGAAATAGCATTGAGTCAAAAAAAACTTTAGAAACTAATATTTTTCAGCGATGAAATAGCCTTCAAACAAAAGACAAAACATACATGTAATTAGGATTTAAAAAACAAAAAACAAACACTAATAACAGGAAATCTAAAAATAAAGAAAATCAATATTAGAATTTTGACGACGAAAGAGAGACATCCACCTAGAATCAGAGGAAAAAACAATGTCATTAAATAAAATAGCATATCATACTAAAAGAAATAGGAGTAGCATGTGATTGTTAATGGAAGTGACGATGGTGGTGGTGTATGGTTACGGATATGGTGATAGATTGACTTTAAGAACAACATGAATCATGTAAAAATTATTTATCATTTATTAGAAATATATCATGTCATTTATATATATATATATATATATATGTCAAATACTTTGAATTAGATGGTTTTCTACAAATAGGATGTTATATTCAGATCCAAAGAATATATGGCGAGGAAGGCAAATTAAGAAATTATGAACGACGATGGACATAGACTAAAATTGTTGTCGGAAAGAGGCTCGGCTCGATGCTAGAGAAAATAAAGAAGGAGGAGAAATAAGATCAGTTGGAAAAGATGAGAAGAGGTGGTAATGGTGGTGTTGGTGATAAACAGACCAACATTTATATTAGATGATTTAATAATTAGTATAAAATAACTACAAATTGTGTTTTATATTGTGCGTTATGCATAATAAATCTATTTAAAAAATAATGAAAATGTTGCATTTTCTAAAATTAAAACATAGGTGTTTATATAATTTTAGTTAAACTTTATAAAAATAAGTGATAATTTTGACCAGCAACCCGTGCAACGCACGGATCCATATCTAGTTTTATATAATAAACCATTAAATACCACACCATATTTAAAAAAACAAAACTTCATTGTAAACCATACAATATAATCCAGTTAAACAAATCCCAAATTATTTGTTATAATCCAGTTAATCAAATTAATCATTTCCAATATTTAACATTCAGACCATCTTGAAAATTACTATCTAATTTATGGTTTTAGTACGATCACATCTTTCTTAAAATCTTTTGATATAAAGCATAATAAGTTATTTTGTATTTAAATGAGAAGTGGAGTAGAATACACGAAATCGAATGATGATGTTTGCATTTAAACTTTTCTCTTTTCTTTTCTTTTTTCTCTTTTTCCTTTCTACATATTCGTGACAACTAAAAAGTGACATTAAGGTGATTCCGACAACGCCCAGGAACATTGCAGATTATTTGAATCAGATTTTAAGAAATATCTATTAATGTATCAAAAATAAAGTTTTCATTTAACAAAAAAAAAAAAATTAAAAGCAAGCAACTGTTTTTGGAAGTGTTAAGCAAATTATCCGGAAAATGGTATTTTTCATATCTATACAATCTGTAAAATGTGTTTTTCAACCTGAACAAATATTTAGGATTAATTCATATTTAAATCTAAAAATGAATTTCATACATAAACTTTACATTTAATGTCTAATTCAAAATCGTAATCAATGGATGTTACTCAACCGTTAAATTGTTGAATCAGATATCATATGTTTGATGATGTGGCTTAAAACGATGTCGTTTTAAAAGTTGAAGTTAAAGTTTTATAAAATTTAGCAATAATCGGGATTCAAACCCATGACGTTTCACTATAGTCGTGGATCAAATGATAATGGACTGCGCAAATGAGTGAAACATGCATTATGGGTTCGAGACCCGTTTTTTGCAAAATGTTATAAAATTTTAACTCTGACACTTAAAACGGCATCGTTTTAAACCATGATATCTAACACGTGTCATTTAACTTAACAATTATAACGGTTGACTAACACCCGTTAATTACCGATTCCAAATTAGACACTAAATATAAAGTTTAGGTATGAAATTCAAATTTGTTTGGTGTTTAGGTATGAATTAATCTTACATATTTGTTCATATCAAAAAACACATTTTCTTATTTTTAGGGCGGCATCCCAATACCTATATTTATATTTGTCTTTATATTTGGTTGCAAACAGATGTCTTCGCTCCCTTATGAACGGGCCGGGCCTGCAACTACAAATGCAAAGTTTTCTTGTTCTCTTCGTTACACATTTTTTAAAAGGATAACATTCCTTTAGGCAATTATTTCAGGCTTATTAAAGGTCTTAGGCGGTGCTAGACTGCTAGCTTGCTTGGCACTCTCTTATTACAATGCGGAGGAATCCAACGCTTTCCTTGTGTTATTCCTAATAGATTTGTAATCAATGAGTAAAAGACATTTTAAATTTACAATGCTTTAGTCTGCTAGTTATGTACCAACCGCAAGGTCTAACAACAACCATGACATAGTACCCAGATTCAGACCAGAAGAAACCACCGACACAATCAGCCTCGACATAGGTATTGGAATCGCATCTAGCAGCCCTGACCATACATCAAACGAGCATCAGCAACGACAAGTACTCGTTCTGAATTTATACAGCAAACTCAAACCAATGGAGCTGCTGGATTCAGGTTTGTCCATGGGCCTCCCATGGGATCCTACTATGGTGGAAATCATCAATATAACGGTTCGAGAGAAACTGAAAACGAGGCTCAAGCCGGTGACATCTCTTCCTCTTACCCATATCCACGTAACACAAAAAGGCTCTTTACTTCCATTCTTTATCTTGATTCTTCTTAATTAGGTTAGGAATGGAATAACATTGTTCTCTGTAATCTTGATCTATCTATATATGTATGTATGTATGTATATCATGACACAAACACTAAGATAGATATAGGTACTGGTCTTAATTTTTCAACATATTTGTTTGTTTTTTTGAATTCGAAAATGTTTTGTAAAAAAATACACAAATCTTTAAATGTATTCAAGAAAATCTTATTTGCAGAGATCATCAACATCAGCCTGTAAAGAATCTCCTCCATGACTGCCATGGAAGAAACCCACCTGCAAACAAAACACAATCAAACACTAAAGCTTCTTGTTGTGGGAATTTTTAAAATATTTTCAAAATGTAAAAGAAAGAGATAGAGAGAAATTGAAGTTACCACACTCAGGACAACGAAAATATTTGTTGTCTCTAAAAACAAGTCCTGTTCCTCCACATTCTTCACATCTCTTCTGTGCAATCTGAAACCAAAACTCATTTCAATGTACACTACCAAATATGTATGAAATGTGTAATACACATAGTTTAGTTCACACAATACATACTATTCTTTTGCTGAATTCAACACCTGCAACAACGAATGGTATGATTCCAGCTGCAAGATCCAATTAATTAATTAAGCTTATAAGAAAAAACACATTTTAAATTTATTAATCACATCACTAATCAGCTAATTATTTACCAATAGTTCCAACTATAATCTGCCACGTAATCTCTGATTTTCCTGTCTCCGCCACCGTGTCAGCCAGTTCACTTAGAGCCGATGGTGTTGTTCTCAGCCGTCGATTACTTATCATCAACAGGCCGTGGCTTCTTCTTCTTCTTCCCGGAGAAACAAAACTAGCGGTAGATTTTATCTGACGTGGTCTTGTTCCAACGGTCCACAGAGACGGAACTCGACACAGTGAAGAAGAAGCAGAAGTCTCCATTGTCGCCATTGTGACTCAGAAATCAAATTCTCCGATGAAAATGTAAAAAATTCGGGCCACGTCGACGTTTTACGGGTCGGGTTCGCGCCAACCACAAAAACCATCGGGTGGCTTTAAAAAAGCTGCCAATTAAAAAAAAAGAGAAAAATCTCAAATACATTAAAACGACGTCGTGTAATCGGAAAACAGTAAACGCCATTGATGTCTTTTTTTTTTTTTTTTTTTTTTTTGGAATTAGGGTTTTAGGGTATATTCGCAATCGGTCTAATTGGATAATTCTTCTACTCTGTTAACATTATCTTCTTTTTCGTTCCTACCGCAAATGGCGGGTTTCTCACTGTACTGTTTTATAAACCCACGAATTCTCTTTACTCTTCCGTCGGAATCACCTCTCTTTGTTTTGGGTTCTGATAAATGTTCGCCGGCGACGAGACGGCGAAGTAGAAAGACTCGTGGGTTTGTCGTAACGTACGCGCACTCTAACCCGAAGATTATCAATCCGAAGAAGAAGTCGAGGTATGGGCAAACGTTATCTCCATATGACAGTGATGAAGATGAAGAGCTAGATGATGATGAAGATGATGACTGGTTGCTTAATGTTAGTTTCCTTTTTCTCTTCTATTCATCAAGTTATGAGATTTATGTGATTTTAAGCACATTTTTTTAGCTTTGATTCTTTTTTGAATGTGAAACTTGTGATTTCTTTTTCATGTTTTCTTTAGGATGACTTCGCTGAGGTTACAGAGTATGAGAAGAAGAAGCCCAAGTCACAGAAGCAAACCATGGCTAAGAAAGGTTTGTCTTTTCTTGACATATTGTTTGAGATTGATTTGAAACTGTCTAAGATGTGGGTTTGTTTGTGAAGGTGTGAAGAAAGGGATCGTCAAAAATTGGGAAAAACCTGAAGAAAGTGAGACTGATGAAGATGATCTTGATATAGGCATTAGTCGAAATAGGGAGTCTTGGCGTTTAGATGGTCGAGGAAAGGTGAAAGATTTGCTTAAATTCCTCTTCTTGTGGAGACAAAGATAGAGTTGAGAAAGGAATTTAATTGTTGTTTTTTGTTGTGTTTCGTTAGGTGAGTTCGAGGAAATATGTCGAGAAACTATACCCTCGGCTCTCAGAAGAGATCGATATAGATCCGAAATGGGTACCACTTCTGGATTACTTGAGCACATTTGGTCTGAAAGAATCACACTTTGTTCAAATGTATGAGAGACACATGCCATCCCTTCAGATTAATGTCTTATCAGCGCAAGAGAGACTCGATTACTTGTTGAGTGTCGGTGTTAAACACAGAGATATCAAGAGGATGCTCTTGAGACAACCACAGATACTTCAATACACAGTTGAGAACAATCTCAAAGCTCACATTTCCTTTCTAATGGGTCTTGGGATTCCTAATTCCAAAATAGGACAGATAGTTGCTGCTACCCCGTCTCTCTTCTCTTACAGTGTAGAGAATTCATTGAGACCCACTATAAGGTATCTGATCGAAGAGGTTGGGATAAAGGAAACCGATGTTGGAAAGGTTGTGCAACTTAGCCCTCAGATTCTGGTTCAACGGCTCGACATAACATGGAACACCCGGTACATGTTCCTCTCCAAGGAGTTGGGAGCACCTAGAGACAGCGTAGTGAAGATGGTGAAGAAACATCCGCAGCTTCTTCACTACAGTATCGATGATGGGTTCTTGCCTCGAATCAATTTCCTTAGGAGCATTGGGATGTGCAATTCTGATATACTGAAAGTCTTGACTAGCCTTACACAGGTTAGTAGATTGCTTTACTCTTCTTCAAACTTAATCTAAACTAGAATATATGTTCTCATAAACACTTCTCAAATTGGTCTTAATAGGTTTTGTCTCTTTCGCTAGAAGATAATCTAAAGCCTAAGTACATGTATTTGGTCAATGAGCTCAATAATGAAGTGCACATTTTGACCAAATACCCAATGTACTTGAGCTTGTCCTTGGATCAAAGGATACGCCCGCGCCACCGCTTCCTGGTTGAGTTAAAGAAAGTGCGGAAAGGGCCGTTCCCTCTTAGTTCATTAGTTCCAAATGATGAAAGCTTTTGTCAGCAATGGGCGGGAACCAGTGTAGATACGTATCTTGCCTTTCGCCAGAGGCTGTTACTCAAGGAGTTTGCAAACAAGTATGACAAGAGAGTATGATGATGGAAATCTCTTGCTCTTGATTACCGACAACAAGTCAACACTGTGGTTACTTTTCTTGCTTCAAATCCAGTAAAAGAGGTTCATAAGCAGAACCTGTGAATGACCATTAACTTCTGGTGACACGCGATACTGCAAAGATTAAAAACTTTTTCAGGACAAGAAAATCCAGAGAAGCCGGCTTGGCACAGACATCATATTTGTTTTACCAGATGAGAGTTTCCACAATCTTTTCCGGGTTTTGGCTACATTTCAAGTTCTGCAATGTTATGTGGTAAAGGTTTACTCTCTTTTTCTCCTCTTCTTTCGAATGAATCACGAAGAAAAGAAACACAATCTGTGTGTAGTATTTTTTGGCCTAGTATATATATATATATATAGTAAATACTAAGAACATCTCTTATGAAGTATTGTTGTGTTTGATCCTTCTGCAAACAAGAGGGTGAAAGGAAGATTTAATAAATACTAAGAACATCTCTTATGAAGTATTGTTGTGTTTGATCCTTCTGCAAACAAGAGGGTGAAAGGAAGAGTTTATGTTTTTGAAAAATTAACAAAAAATGGTCTTTTTAAATTACAAAATTGTCTAAACCATAAAATTCTATATTTCAATTATTACATAAAAACTAATCCTAAGGTCTGAATGCTAAATCTGATCCTAAAATTAAATCCTTAATCCTAAAGTCTAATATATAAAGAAAAATTTCACAAATTCAGCTAAATTTTTCTTTGGATGATGATTTTAGTCTAAAGGATTTAAACAGCGTCGTTTCATAGTACAGTGATGTCGATGTTTTATAGCTCACTAAAATCAATGAAAAATCACAATTCCACATTGATTTTAAATTATTTTTCATGACTTTTGGTTAATAATTAGCTGATTTGTTTTTTGAATTACTCAATATGAATATGTCAAATTAAATTTGAACATAACTTCTGAAAGTGTGAACATAGTCTATAGTTATTTTGCCAAAAAATAAAAAAAAGATTGTCCTGGTTGAATGTATAAACCGTAAATGTAAACCGATTTATTTGTTTTTTACAGTTTTGTTTTTTGGTAAGAGAAGGGGAGATGTTTTTTACATTACTTGAACACAAAACTTCCGTTATTTTACAAATAATTACCAGCGAAAAACTTAATTAACCTATAAAAATGTAAAACCATTTCTTTAATTTATTTGGAAAGGTTACCAAATAAACCATCTTTGCATTTGCTAATGAACACGTAACTCTTATGAGTAAACGTAACTCTGAAACGATTAAAATTAATTTGCCAAACCCCTCCAAAATCATGTTTCCAATTTTATTCTTCTATAATCATACCTCTAATTTGCCTTCATCTTTTCATTTTCAATCGGTTATTACTATTCTGTGCACCGAAGTAAAAGATGGTGATGATTATTGATTAATGATGGTTATTGGTTAACATTTAACAATAAGAACTAGCAATATAACTCCATCATACTATATATAGCTCATACTCATGCTCCATACGTACTTAATTCTCGCATATGTTCATTTATAATTTTATATAATCTTTGTAAATAAAAATATAATCTTGTTTAACAATTGGACAATATTAAATAGTCAATATTTGATTGTCTAATATCGATCGAAAAGTAGTCAAACCAATATCAACCTGTAATTTGGATTATACATTTCTAAAACTATCCTATAATAACGTGATACCATAACTATGAGTCTGTGACATGTCAGACACTCAAATTACGGGAGTGTTATTCAATGGTGAAGTGAAAGTCAATTCTTTAAGGTTTAGATTTATTTTCTGATACTGGTTTTAAGAATCTGTTTATGTGGATTTCAAAATCTCTGCAGTATATCTTGGATTTTGATTCTAATAATTTACTCATGAAACTCCAAAGAGGTTTCATTTCAAATGACTTAATATACAAAGATTTTACAAGTCTTTTAGTTTTAAATAACACTAGATTTTACAAACCTTAAATAATTGACTTTAACTCCACCATTGAATAACATCAAACTTTTAAAATCTAATGAAGTATAAGATCTAATAACACCAGATTTTAACGTTAGATTTATAATCATTAGTTGAATAACACTGGATTAGTGTTGGATTTCAATTCTATTAAAATCCATCATTGAATAACACCACCTACATGTATATAACACATGGAGCACAATTAATTTCCACATAAAAGAAGTTTCTACCAAATAATCATAAAAGAACATTAATGTAACTTAAACTAATTACAGAACTAGTATTTATTTTCTGATAAATGTATTTATTACCAAAACATATCTAGAGATACAACCACTATTATTGATCAACATAAACATAAACAAATAAATCGAGTTGGATTTTACGTCAAATAACCTTTGTACTTGTGTATTAATCAGGAGAAATATTATTTTAAATAAACAGAAATCATAACTTCGAGATGCGTATTTCTCTTCCACATATGTAGTTTAAACTTAGTATTGGATATTGATCAATCAATGCAAAAATATATGTTTATTTATAAAACTTATCCAAATAAAATATGTTTCTCACAAATAGTCGACTAAAATTATCATTTTAATTAAAAAACAATATCAAAAGAGAAAAAACAAAACATATGTTAAGTATTCTCAATGGAGATCGAAGTGTTCGAAATTCAAACACGTTCATTTTCTTGTATTTAAATTAGATTCTCACAGTATTTCTCTGAAATTTATTATTCTTACAAATGTTACCAAAAAGTATTAATTTTTAAGAAGATAATCACAAACAGAATAAATACAATTATTAAAAATATTAATTTGAGGTTAGAAGAAAAAAATTAATTTAATTTTGAGGATATATATACTTTTATCTTTTTGACAGCGAGGATATGTATAAAAAAAATTTCTGATAAGTATGATATAGTATATAATTAAGATGATGGTATTGTTTATTTTTGAGGGAGTTAAAAGAGCATACATAAGACATAGAGAGGCTCCAAGTATTTATTAAACTCATCTTTCTCACACGACCTTTCACCTCCAAAGACTCCCAACAAAAATCATAATAAA